GAATTGAACTTTCTGGTTTTGTTTTGTGTTCATTTTTCTATTCTTTTCCTTTGTTTCATTTTTTGCATAGTCAAATGCTGATATTGAGGTAATGGAATGTGTGTTTTCAGCTCTAGCAATTGAAGATACAAGTGTTGAAGATCAAGCAGAGGGTGGTAAGTTAGTTGGTTCTTCAATTCTTTTCCTTATAATTAATCTTAGTTTCAATTCTCTTAACACCTTTGTTTTCTTTCTTGCAGAACAAGAGGAACTTGGCAATATGAATCGTCCATTATCCCTAGATGATTGATAGTTTGAGAAGAACCAGTGCAAAGGTAAAATACTAGTGATCAGTAGCACAATACTTATGATTGATGAGGTTTACTGATAGTTTCAATTCTCTAACACATTTGTTTTCTTTCTTGCAGAACAAATGGAACTTGTGACAAAGGAGGAATGTTGTTCAAATAAATTGAGGTCGAGGAATTGGTCTCCAACGTGGACAAGCTACAACATTGTTCCTCATTTCATTTCATCATTTCTGAACGATTACATTTACGTTGAACGTCTTTGTTTTTCATTTTATATTTTTTTTAAAAAAATTTGAACACTAATACTAGCATGATCAACATGATTGATGGGTTTTGGGTGGTGGGATTAAGGTTGCAGCAGTTTGTTTGTTTGTTGCAGCCTGTGACTTGAACTTGAATTTTGAATTTTAGGATCTGGGTGCTGGGATATGGGTTACAGCCCCATATCTTTTTTTGTTTTTTTTTTTCCTATTTCGATGGCTTGACCATCAAGTTACCATTTTAATGCAGAGGTAGTGTTTGTTTGTCTTTTTCTTTCGTTTAGGCTTTAATTCGTGGGTTGCCCGAATTCGTCGACGAACGATAACAGTAGCCAATCTACCTTCATTTAGTTGTCGGGAACGAGATGGAAAAATCAGTCGAGGTTGACGGATGGAGATCGAAAGGCATGTACCCGCCCCCGATCCGCACTGTTGGCATCTCTAATTCTATATTATCATCCATTCATCCATTCGTCGCGAACGAATCATAGTATTTAGCATTTTGAAAAGTAGCGGCAAAATACACGGCTACGTTCCATATGTATGCATGGCGTGCAAATTGCAATGGGAATGCAGTTATAAATTCAGGGAAACTTCCTGGCTCTGGAGGGCACGCATCCTACTTATTGCTTAACTTGCTCTTACCCAGAAATGGCACGTAGAACTAGGCGCGGACACAGACATGACATTGGATAGCGGCCCTTTGAAACCAAGACATTTACTACTGTCTACTGGAAGTACCATCGGTTTTTCTCTGTTCCCAATTTCCTCTTCCTTGTCTTTCCCTGAACGGCTTAGTAGTTTGATGTTCTGTTTATGGAAAATATCGTTTGACAATCTCCTTGTTTATTGATAAGTTGAGTTTACGTTAAGCTTTTAGATAAAGAACCTTATAAGTCAATTCGACTCAGTGAGTTTGTATTTGAGCTCATGAGTTGTCCTGATAGTTGGCCGACAAACCAATTCGGTTAGCGACTTATGAGCATTGATCTATATTTTATGCTTTGGCTTATTGATAATTTATAGGCTTATTTTTTTATTTTTAATGAAATAACTCATAGATTTGTTAGATTATATATCTTATCACAAAGCTTTATATATGTGAACAAATATCTCTCATTATAATTTAAAGGAAAAATTAAGTATGATAATTGTTTATATATTGACTAGTATAAAATAATAAAAAATTAAAATTTATGAAGTAAATAATATGATACTTGAGCCATGCTCGCGAGCTAATTGATGATTCAAATTCGAGTAAAGTGGTGCGCTCATTAACGAGAAGAGCTCGAACCAAATACGCAGCAATATTTCATTAAACGAACCAAATTTGAGCATGACTCATTTATTAGCAAGGTGAGCCCGAACTAGTCCAAACTCGCAACTGGATGGATACCCTATCGGTTTATGGGGACGGACTTTATATTCGTTTGCAATATATCTACGCTATAGTTTGGCTCATTTACCGTCCTAGTTACAAATATACAGAGGGCGAGCATAGTATATGATACAATTACAATCTGAATTTTGTAGGCATACAAATGGTAGACACCAAATTTTGTAACAACTAATTTGTATAATTTGCAAATAATTATACCACCGCAATGCTTACGCTAAACCACACATGTACAGATAATTTGTAGTGGAATTAGTGGTGCTCGACCTAAACCATAAGCACAGCCTTCATTTCTTACAATGCATGCATCTAAAGTCATAAACCCCATCGATAAGCTTACCATTGGAAGTCGAGAAAATTAAATTGAGCTGCGCTCTTTGGGGCTCTGTCGTCCCCATTGATTGCTGCACCATCATCAATCAATGCTCGCCCAGTCCCCTTCCATGGATGCGCCAAACAATGCCAACGCCCTCCTCTGCCACAATTTTACAAATTATAAAGCAAACCAACGCTGCTTCTCTTCATGCCTTTGATCACAAGCAGCAACAAAAAAGCATGAAAACAACCCAAATTCTTACAGTCATTCTCATAGGCCTACTGCTCCTCGCAACACAATCACTCTGCAGCAGCAGTGACACCAAACAACCACCAAACAAGCCCAAATGGGTGAAAACAGAGAAGCAAAGCAGAGGAGGCAGAGGTAGAGCCGGCAGAGGCCGTGGAAGGGGCGGAAGATCGCCGTCGAGCAGCCGCTGTGACCCATTCTTCCAATACCTATTTGGGATCTGCGGCCAATGGCCTTTCCCAACTTCCCCTTCTCCGGACAACCCTTTCAATCCCTCCCCTGCTCGCCGCCCTCCTAATCCTCCTGGGACAAGGATTCCTCCTCCCCTTCCCACTCCAGCAGCACCACCACCGCGCCTCCCGCCAATTCCGCTCGTCCCTTCTCCTCCGCCAGTAACTCCTCCGCCCGTTCTTTCCCCGCCGCCTGCGCCTGTGGTTACCCCGTCTCCTCCACCTTCTGCCCCTCCGCCTCAATCTCCACCACCTTCTTCACCTCCTCCATCGCCTTCTCCGCCGCCGCCGCCACCTTTAGTTCCTTCTCCCCCGCCCCCTGTACCTTCGCCGCCTCCTCCACCGCCACCGCTTGTCCCTTCTCCGCCGCCGCCTGTATTCCTGCCGCCTCCCCTGGTGGCTTCCCCACCACCTCCCACGATCATCCCATGGTTTCTTTCCCCTCCTCCTGTCGACCTCTCGCCGCCGCCTCTGGTTCCGATATTCGATCCTCCGCCTGCAGACGATGACTACACGATGGCTCCACCTCTGGTCCCCATCTTGACCCCACCGGAAGAGGTACAGCCGCCGCCAACAGAAATGCCTCCGCCAGCAGATCTGGACTTCACACCGCCGCCGTTGGTGCCCTTCTTGACTCCATCTCCGCCGGAAGACGATGAGGGGGCCACCCCCGCACCGCCACTGGTGCCATTATTCGAACCACCGCCGGAGCAAGACGTTCTGCCTCCGCCGGAAGAAGTCACTCCAACTCCATTCCTACCGATTTTCTCTTCTCCACCGCCGGCTTCGGATGACGGATTCGCGCCGGTGACCCCTGTTCTGCCAATCGTTTTGTCGCCACCGCCGGTCGACGATGAAGGTGGTTTGCCACCGTTTGTACCAATAACTTCTCCGCCGGTACCCGACCTGACTCTGCCCACGCCGGCGCCTCCCCTGGTGCCTGAAGTTCCAGCAGACTCGGATCCTCTGCCATTTTCATCCTCACCGCCAGCTCCAGATATCGAACAGAAGACTGCACCTTCCGTCACATGAGCATCATCTGGTGCTTACCATATATAGATATATCCACGCTTGTCATTTCATTTCATCAGTAACTTGTATCTTTTCCCGCCACGCTGCATTCGCGCGTATTAATCCAACAATTCTACTTAACAACATAGTGCCTCAATCTTACATTTTCCGGATGACCGGATCGCTTAGTTTAAAGAGCCACTAGAACCTCTAAAAATTATCAATACCATAGGCAGAGCGTCAGTGGTCAGGCAAAACTAGTGACTTGATACAAAGACAATGCTCACAAGACGGATCAGTATGGAGCTTAAACTAGCTCTAAAGCCGACACTGCTGATTACGTCAATAGACACTGCAGTGGCACTCAATCTACACTTTTATGCGGATCTAAAGATGTCTAGACAGCCGTCTCAAATTTTGCTATCTTCTTGTCTATATAAGCAGCGGCTTTCCCTCTACCAGGCTCAACGTGCAATAAGCGGAGGTTTGGAACTTTACCTAGTACGAAATTCATCACAATCATCTGAACCTTCTTGAACATGGAGTATAGTAGGACATATCCTTTTACCATGGCTGTGAGTACAAACCTACAAGTACAATAAAGCAATTAATTCAGTCCAGAAAGCCGCAGTAACAAGGATGCACCATTTTAATACAAATGAACCGCAGCTTGGGCGAGCTTCTAGTCAAAGCAAAAGAGACCCAACAGATCAGCTTTGACATTAAAACACAGAGAAGATATTCGAAGATGTTGTAAGCAATCAAGAGAATTAGTAGGAAGCCTCCCAGCTATGCTACCGGCAGCAAAGGCCTGGATGACAGCAAATATCTAAGGTGAGTATGCGTGAAATACATATGAACACACAAAACCATCTGCAGCATAAAATAGGATGTGTGGGGGGGAAATTGATGACATAGTTTCAAGAATACACCCTCTGTTAGCAACGTCTGTAATTGAGGCAGCGAAGGCACATGCCTGAATCACATTAGAGGTTAGTCCCCTGTACCAATTCTAGATCTATTGACAAAATGAATAATTCTGAAACAAGTGGGGCATATTTGAAGCAAATAGACTTGAATGGCCCGCAAAGGACGAAGTGCTTGAGGCAAGGACTGAAAATTGCAATATGTTCACAGCCCTTGATATATGTGACTGACAGATCTTCAAGCAAAGGGCACTTTGGAAGAAAGTTTTCCAGAGAGTCAGCAGCTAACTCAACCACCAACAATTTGAGTCTCTCAAGACTACTAAATCCTCCAAATGAAGCAGGAACTTTGAACAGATAACAGGAAAGAAAAAAGGTGAATCAACTCAGAGAAACAAAGAGAAGAAGCAGGAATGGAGCTTGTAATCCGTACAGTAGAGTAGAGGGTCAAGTCCTGGACATTTTTCTTAGGCAGGTGAAGAAGCAAGCGATCTATCTGGCGAGGGCCACTTAATCCTGGGATTTTGAGGGTGAAGTTGGAGATTGGCCCTTCATGTGCTAGTAGGGACCTCGAAAATCCTCGACATGTAAAACGAAGGGTCAGTAAGTTGCGGATCGACCGCTCCAAAATTGCTATCGAACACAAGCTGGGGAACCCTAGTCCAGACATGCCTCCATTTCCTAGAGAGGGCACAAGTCTTTCCAGCATATTTTAGGGGCAAAAACATGAGAATGTTCTCTATCAGATCCACAGGAAGGTTGCTAATTCTATCATCACAGTTGAAACCGAATACGCTTCATCCTCCCAAGGAGTCCGTCAGAGAGCAATATGACAAAAGAGATTTCTAACCATATCAAAGGCAAAGCACACTTAGCTTACAATTTGGAGTACTATTCTAAGCTTCGGAGCTTCAAAGATATGGAAGGTTACCTGTCGTTGACGAGCGAGGAGTTGCCCAAGCCCCCCACCGCGGTGACGAAGAATCAACCAAAGAGCCCGGATTCACTTTCTCGAGCTCCCTCTGCAACATGACAAGCAATAGGTTGAACAAGACCAATGGAAAACTGCAGCGGCGGATCCAGGACATAAGAGAGCATTGAGCCGCATTTGAATAGAATATTAGATATCATAAACAAAAATGTATAATAATATAGTTTTCATTATAATGCCAATTATATAAGAAGGTCTTTTAATTTAGCAAATTTATCAATAATATAATCTCCATCCATACTCAATAATATAATCTCCATCCATACTGATAATATACTCTTTTTCAAAGAAAATAACTAAGTAATCAACGATAAATTCGTTGCTCATTTTGTTGCACACATCAATGTTCATGTTCCATTGCTGAAAATATTCTCTCCATGGTAGTTGTAGAAACGGCTAAGTCAACACTAGACAAATCAACCGACAAATCAATTTGTATTGTGTGTCCATCCCTATTTCCTCCAGCTTCTCTAATAATTTTGCAAGAGAAGAAACTTCATCTTCCTCACATGAGTAGTGCATTCTCCAAAAAATGCATCTCATAGCCTTCAAAGTCTCGAGGCTAAACTCTTGAGTAAGTTTGTAAATATTTTCTTCATCAAAACACCAGAAAGAATGGTTAGAATCTAGTGTCCCATCAATTGAGACAATCTAAATAATAACTCAGCAAGTTTGTAAATATTTTCTTAATCAAAAGAATGGAAAGAAAACCAGCTCGACGAGCTGGGTCGAGCTGGTGGAGAAATCCATTTTGGGTCTGCTCGTCTCCTCGTTCTTGTTTTGTTTTGGGGGGATTGAGAATTTTTTTGAATTTTGCAAGAAAGGGTGTGCTTTAGTTTAGAGTTTTTTTTATATTTTAATGAAATTTTACACTTTTATGTTTTCATGTCTTTTTTCAAATAAAATCATTGGGGCTATAGAAAATTTAGTATAAATTTGGAGTAATGGTTTGGATATGTTCATCTGAACCATTTTTCTAGTTACACAAAATCCTATTATTAAATAAAAAAACTAGACAGGATTTTAAATAGCAATGGATCAAATACCTAAATCAAAAAATTTTATAAGCACTAAACTAACTCTGGATCTGGATGAGGGTTGGGCCGGGGTCTGGTTTGGCCCAACCCTGGATCCACCACTGGAAAACTGACAGAAGAATCTTCAGAACGACCAAGCGATGACTGAGTAAGGAAATGAAGAGGAAGAAGAAGACCTAACATTTACCACGATTCATTGCTCGGTGTCAGAACGCCGCGGCACAAGTGTAGTGTTCTAGCTTTGAGTTGCACCTAGTGCCATTTAGGGTAGGGATGTACATGAGAGGGTGGTCCAGGTTTAGTCATTTTAATCACCTGATTTAAGGACTACTGTTTGGGATTTTTTTTTGATAATATATGGTTTGGAAAATATTAAACTCAAACTCATAAAAAAATAATTAATACTCTACGTTTCTTTTTAATTGGATTGGGTCGGATTGGCGATATTTTTAAGTAAAAATCCAACCCAATATACAATAAGTAATTATTCTACACCATAAAAATATTAAGGGTGTGCCTACGGTGACATGCATGTCACGGTGACTTGCACTTTCCGGTCGACCTCAGTTAGGATTAGGTCGACCTCATTTAGAATTCGGTCGATCTCATATAGGATCTGGTCGACCTCATTTAGTATTCGGTCGACCTCATATAAGATCAGGTCGACCTAATCTGTTGTTTCAGTGTAAAAACAGTTCATGGTGCCTAGTTTGGATATTCATATTATACAATTGGCTAGATGAAAATTGAAGACTAATGACTTGTTTTAAAGCTGGAGTGTCCCTCTACATATTGAAGTGATTAAGAGCTCGATAGGAAGTCCAGAATACCATTTTTGAACCTCATCAAAAGGCTATGCCAAAACTGGGAAACTGCCTGGAAATGGCTAAGTCTGGAAACGTGTTTGTGAAGCCTATTTTGGAGCTCAATTCGAGAAGCATGAATGCGAGTCGAGTCCAGGAGCCTCTACCACGTTAAATTAGTTATGTTTTTATACAAATTCAAGGAATTGAATGAAAGATTGGATATCTGTAAGGCTTCAAACAAAAGGGTCGAATTTGCTACGAAGACTATTTTTCTGGCAGACTTCGAGCACAAGCAAGCGGCCAGAAAAACAGCCTTCGTAGCAACTTCGAGCCTTTTGTTTGAAGCCTTAAAGATATTCAATCTTTCATCCAATGCCTTGCCTTTGTATAAAATAATACGTAATTTAACGTGGTAGAGGCCCCTGGACTTGACTCGCATCCATGCTTCTCAAATTGAGCTCCAAAGTAGCCTTGACAAACACGTTGCCAGACTTAGCCATTTTCAGGCAGTTTCCCAGTTTTGGCATAGCCTTTTGGTCAGGTTCAAAAATGGTCTTCTGGACGTTCTATTGAGCTCCCAAGTACTTTAATGTGCAGAGGGACACTTCAGCTTCAAAACAAGCCTTTAATATCCAATTACCATCTAGCCAATTGTAAGATATGAATCTCCAAAGTAGGCACTATGAAACTGTTTTTACACTGAAACAACAGATTAGGTCGACCTGATCCTATATGAGGTCGACCGAAAAGTGCATGTCACCATGACATGCATGTCACCGTAGCAAAGTCCAAATATTAAATATCTAATTAAAATTTCAAATGAACAAACCGAGGTAAAAGATATCAAAATTCACAATTGTTGTTTGAATTTTAATAAAATGTGATTTATTTTAACATATTTATTTTTTTCACGACATTTTTTGAAATAGACTAAAAGGTTGTAAACGAACGCATCCATAATATGTTATTCTATTAAAATTGTACACAAGAAAAAGAATTATGTGAATCATAGCTATATTAAATCTATTTGTAAACTTTAAGCCGAAGAATGCATTAGATTAGGGAGACCATGAGAGTAAAACATTGCGAAATATCTTAATTTGCTCATAAGTATGGGTATATACGACATACATATTTTTTGGATACAAACTCATACCAATAGTTGGAACACGGGTTGGGTCGGGTTCTATGGGTTGTGTAATCCAAATCCGAACCCAACCCAAAAGAGGCGGGTTGTACAAAAGAAAACCCTCAACCAACCCAAAACCTTTATTTTAGGGATAAATACGGGTGGATTGGGTGGGTTCGACGGGTGGATCAGTTTACAGGTGTGTTTGTTCACCCATAATTTAGGGTTTATCTTTTGTTGCACGATAACCATCTAAGTGTGTTTTGTTGCACATCAACCATTTATGTTGAATAATAGTTGCAACGTTACTATTTTCGTTAATAAAATTAACGGTAAGTACATAAAACTAAATTTCTCGCCATGTCGGCAATCCACGTCACTGTCTGAAGCTGAGTCAGATCTCACTCACTTTATGAATGGCCTCTTATTTGCAAGGTGGTTTGTTGACCCTTTTCAAAATTTCAAATTGTGATTCCAACGAACCAATCGAGATTTTCATCCACTAAAGAGTTAGAAAGATTTAGTCAAGTGACTAACCATCCCCCTTAATTACCTTATCCAATCTCGATTAAAGGAATTCCACCGACTTCCCTTAATTACCTTAATTACCTTAACAATATACTGAGTTGACTAGTGTTCTTAAAATTCAACTAGTCTTTTGGCCCACGTTTCGCCGCGGTAATGAACTAATTATTTTTAAATAAATTTTATGCACTCATTAATGATTTAGTTGGAATGAAATTATTAACAAAATAAAGTAAAGCTCTTTCATAAGCTTTACATAATATCTTAATTATATGGAAAGCTTATGTAACACATTTGTTTGATGATACATAGGAAATTAACTATCCCTTGATTTTTCATAAGTTTTACATATTATATTTTAATAACAGTTATAGAACGGTATTACGTAATCTTCCGTAACGTGTGGTCTAATAAGAGAATCAATTTACATACTTACATTTGATTAGACTATTACGTAAGGTTAACCTATCTTACATAAACTTTATTTTGTGACATGCAAATTGATGAGATGTTGAATATAGTAGGTGATATTAAATGAATCTTAGTAAACAATAAGAGAATGAAGTTATAGAAATTATTGTCACTCCACAAAGTTTGCGTATTTTGTGAGTCATTAACACTTATGTTGTACATTTTGTTTAATTGATACATAAAATTTACGTAATTTTATTTAATATTTTTACATAAATATTATGTAGTGCATGATTTAATAATAAAATTATGTTATGGAAAGTAGCACATTTAATTAAACTACAATGAAAAAATTAACTTACCATATAGAATTTTTGCATAATGCAAATGGATGAGATGATGAGCATTGTAGTTAATTATAAGTTTTTTGTAATATTTATGTGATATGTAAATCTTTCGTAATGTGAAATAAAAATGTACTTTGAAGGTAAAAAAATTCTTATGGTGAACTTGGTGAGGAGATGGAAAACAAAAATTACATAAACAACTGACTACGGGAAAAAACAATGCATATGGTAAAATTGGTTGTAGAGTATAAAAAAGTTCATTAAAGAATTAATAAATACCGAGATAGTTGTATGCAATAAAGCTTATGTAACACATTTGTTTGATGATACATAATAAATTAACTATCCCTTCAATTTTCTTAAGTTCTACATATTGTATTTTAATAACAGTTATAGAACGGTATTGCGTAATCTTCCGTAACGTGTGGTCTAATAAGAGAATCAATCTACATACTTACATTTG